TAATAGCTTTAGGTCAGAAGTGGTTTCGGAAAAGGAGAATCTAAACTCAAAAGAACAACAGAGGAGGGGTACACAAGTTTTTTAATAAATGTATATCCCCATGAGACTAACTGCGATTCACACCGGGCAAAAAAGTATTTTTTTTTTTTTAGTTTTAAGCACACCTGAGGGTAAGAAAGGCTAAGATGTATTGAGCAAAGATGGATGATTTAATATATCATAGCCCTGACCAAACTAATTCTAACTATTGGCTATAATTGAATTATCGGAATAATACACAATATAATTTTCCCATTATCAGCCCCGATATGTACTGTGCATCCCTATAAACAGCTCCCAGTCTGTGTACATTTATTGACAGTTTTGAAATTTGACTTTCATGTACAGCATTCTTCACCAGACACAAAGACTACTTCTTCAAGGTTGTGATGAATGTCTTTTAAAAAAAAGTGGTACCTTTCTAGCTTGTAACTCTTTGAATTTAAAAAGAACCCACCCTCTTCTTATTGTTGAATTTCAATATTTTTCAGAGCCCCGAAAGGTAAAACTTCCTTGTAGCAAAAATATGTTCTTTCTTCCTAACTTGTTAATCATCTTGTGACCGCTCAAGGACCCTGACACCTCCACCGAGGTTGAAACCACTGAATTAAACTGAAGTCTGAAGTCTGTCCCTGCCAGGACACCACATACCTGGTTTGGGTTTCTCCCGCTGTTTCAGCTGCTCTTCGTAGATCTGTTTGCCGCTCATCAGCTGATAGACGGGAGGATCTTTGTGTTCACTGAGCAGCACCAGTTTGAGACCCTTCTTGTCCATGAGTTTGATCGCAACTACACGGTGCATGGTGCCCAGGCTCTCACCTGTGTCACTCAACACCTCTATGCGAGGATGCGGGATGTTACGGCCAGCATTGGTGATTGGGACACAAGCTTGGGGGTTTGGGTTTTTTTTCTTTGGTGCAGAAGTCTGTTTTTCTCTGTTGCCTACAGTGGTGGAGAATTGAGACCATCTCCACAAGGAAGTAATAGTGTTAGATCTTTCACTGCAAATGGCAAATCTTGATGCGGGTGTCCAGTAGCCGGGGCTGCCACTACATACAGCTCTCACTGTACGGCTTAGCACCCACCTCACACAACCTGCAGACATGTCCTAGATAAAAAGAGAGAGGGAACAATTGAGCTACCAGATTTAATGAAACAGCATTATTTAGAAAAAGACCATAATGGAGAATGAATTTTATCCCAATCTTAAGAATTAGGCTTATCTTAATAATAATAAGCTTATCTACAGATAACTGTAGATGACGGTAGATATTTACATAAAAGGCATTTACTATCAATTTATGAGTTGTGCGTTTAATTTGTTTTAAGTTTATATCTGATATAATGTGTTTGACACGTAGGTCCACATTCAGTACCATCCATTGCCTTGCTTTCCTCATGCTATATCTTGCCTGTGTAGGTAATGTGAGTAGTGTCTTTTAAGCCTATGAGGTCTGGGCACCTTTGGGTGTGTGACACCTGCATAAAAAAATCTCTGCATCATTAGAAGCACCTCGATTTAAACTTATAAACACAATGGATCACTATGTCCACAGTGTTGTGAAATGTCCCAGTGTCTGCAGCACCCCGCCCTACCAGGTTGCATTAAAACATCTGACAATTAAAAGTTTCCCTTACTTATCTGTCACTACACACACCGCACAAATCACAAAAAAACACATTTTCCAAACCTTCAGGATCCACTGTGGTATTCGGGATACATTACACTTACTTTATTACTTACTTTCGGAAGTTTTACACGCATTTTTGCATATCACTGACGTTGGTTCACGTCATCCTGACACACGTCTACGACAGGTAAAACACTCGGTATGGTCGTGACTACTGCTTGATTGTGAAACATTTAATGGAAAGTTCGTCGGTTAAGTGAAGCCGAACTGACCAGCAAACCTTAGACATTAATAAAATGTATTACAGTAAATGCATCGTGTTACACTGTGTGAGGAATTGGCACGTCAACATTAAATCGTACGATTTTAAACGTGAGTTTGGAGTTAACCGAGAGAGGCGTTCTAGACCTAGAGGTCATCTAGGCTGAGTTTAATATAGGCCTAACATTGTGGAAACAATGTCATTTGAATTAATAAACCATCAGTGTCACTGGCACTTTGCACAAGGTGTCCTAGATGTTATTAACTTGTTCTCCAATTACACATAAAGTGAAACCGTGTCAAAAAACATTCCTGTAGGCACAAATTAGAGCTTATAAACGCTAATATCTAAGTAAATAAATTCCCCAAACGTGTATTCCCTTGTTGTGGAGCACTCACTGCACTTCAATGTCGCTTTTTCATGCTCTCTGTTGCAGGGTGACTGCTGTGTGTCTTCTTCCGCCATGTACTTCTTCTTTTAGCTCATGTGAATGAGGATAGATGCAACAAAACCACAATGCTGCCCCCTTCTGGACAAGGCAGGACACGTCGTTATCCTTTAAAGGCTCGGTTCATCCAAATTACAAAATAGTTCACATTTGCCCCAAGAAATCTCCCCGTCCAGTTTTACTTGCCAGGTTTTTGGAATGAGTTTTAGATTTTTGTCTACAGCCAGTACTTGGTTTGTCCGTTCTGGGCTACTGTAGAAACATAGCGGACTCCATGGAAGG